GTTTGTTTGTTTTTAACATATTTATTGGTTTTTTACTGAGAGGAAGGGAGAGGGATAAAGAGTTAGAAACATTGATGAGAAAGAAACAACAATGAGCTGCCTTCTGCACACCCCTTCCTGGGGATGTGCCCACAACCAAGGTACATGCTCTTGACCGGAATCAAACCTGGGACCCTTCAGTCCACAGGCTGACGCTCTAGACACTGAACCAAACCGGTTATGGCCACACTCTATTTTTGTATTTAGTATCCTTTAGTGGGCATATCCATCTCTTCTGTGAATTTCTAGGGGATAGCATTAAGTGCCATCTCTGCATCCACAATGTCTTATTTCTGGAATAATGTAAGAATTCGAGTTTATCCAATTAAATGAAATAAATGATTGAGCTCTTTTAGAACTAACTGTAAAATACTGTCAAGAAAAAATATATATGCTTTGGACTGTTGGTTGCATTTTAAAATTTGAACATGTTTTTCACACAGATGTTTTGTGTTACCTGCTTATGTAGTTGTTTTTTTTTTTTAAATAAACACTATAAGCTGCAAAGAGCTTTATATAATAGAATGCTCTTTAGCTTCCTCTCATTTCTGTGCCCCCCGGCTTTCTTTTTCCTGCTATTGTTGGTTGTGTTTTTCTCTTGCTACAGTTTAACTTTATTCCTTTCTCTTTTTTTTTCTTTTCTTTTCGAGTGATCAAAACATTGCATTGTATCCTAAGATTCAAAAACTAAGTTTTAAAGGTAAAACAAAAATACTGACTTGCCATTGCTGTGGCAAGCTGTGAGGTTGAACTCTCAGACAAAGTGCGTTCTCACAGAGAAAGGAGCATCAGCTGTCTCTGGCTTTCCAGCCACAGAGGGAAATCTCTGATGCTTTCACAGAGGCTTCAGGAAAGAGGTGGGGAAGGATGTGGGATTTACAAGAACAGGAGAGGGCAATGACCACAGGCATAAGTCAGGAAGCCTGGGTTCTAGACTTTATTTCTAACTGTCCATATATTATTAAACCCCTCTGGGCTTAAAAGTAAAAGGAGGGCATCAGACCAGGGGATTTTTTAAAGACCTCTTTTCCCAGATTTCCCCACAGCAGCACTGTTGACATTTTGGATTGGGTAAATCATTTGTTGAGGGGAGGGGTTCTGTCCTGTGCATTGTAAAGTATTTAGCAGCATTTCTACCGTCTGCCCACTAGATGCCAGCAGTACCCCCACACACTCTCCAGAATGACAATCACAAACCATCCCAGACATTGCCAGATGCCCCCAGAACAAAATCCCTGCTGGCTGAGAACCTCTGCCCTCGAGCTTCCTTCCACGGCCAATGCCTTATTGTCAAGTTGCAAGCTCCTCAGTTTTTCCGCATTTTTTTTCAGACAGTTCGAACTCTCACTTGAGCATTTTTAAACACTGATATACACTCTTCAAGTTCTTTTCCCTTGTTACAGATGTACAACCAGTTTGTACAGGTACTATATAGACATGTATAAAAAAATGATCTCTAACCAGAGATGAAGTAAGCAGACAACAGTAAAATGCCTGGAGGAGGCTCGTCAAGAACTGGTGACAGTAAAGTGCATCGGACTAGAGCTCGTTTCACACGAATAGCATCGCAAGCGTGACCTGCCAATAACTGTTGTGAAGGCTGGCATTTTCTTGGCTTCCTCATTTTCATTATTGAACTGTGCTTCTGGCAAGAGCTTGGAATATATAATATATCCATTATCTTCTATTTATATTTTTCTGTAAATGTATAGATATATTTGTTTCTGTTGTCATTCAGGAAAATAACTTGCTCGCAATTGAAAAAAAATACTATCCCATCTTAAATTCTATGATCTCATTCTTTAGTGGCTATGTGTTCAGCTTGACACACGTGACATCTGATTGTATTGTTCCAGTACCGGTAGGAGTTCTGGTTTCGCACAGTGCTGTGGTGGCCAAGTGTCTTTTAAGGGTGATGGGTACTGAAGAGAAGCAATATGTTCAAAACATCCCATCCTTTGGCCTTATGCAGAGGGGGAGGGGGTTAACCTTTAGTATTTTCTATCCCATAGCTTGTGAAAATAATTAAATGACAGCAAGAAGACTGGTCACGGGCATGAGATGCTTTCTTTTCCTTTTAGTAATATTTGTCATGGGAGATTTAGCTTTACCCTACCAGAGTGAATGAATAGCACCGGTGTTAAAGGTCCCAGGTTATGAGGAAGTAAAAGGACATAAAAGCCATTAAGGATTCTCTTTAACTTCTGGCAGTTCACATTATAATATGTGTTTCTAGTTGTATGCCAGATGTGCATAGTCTTTTTCCTTAAGAAAATCTTTCTACTCCCCAAAGCTACATTCTTAGATTTGGAAGCTTTCAGACTAGTGGCGAGAGTCATATCTGCTGCAGGTGTGATTTCAGAGACATCTTCAAGGAGGACAGTGTGGGGAAGATTAGCGCCAGAGGGGGGTGGAGGGGTAGGGAGGGGGTTCGATGTACACAGGCCGGCAGGATCGCGCTGGGCTGGGGCCTGGCTCTGTCCCCATGAATGTTGTGTTAGGCACGCTGAGTTATTTAGCTAGACTTCAACCTCTTTAATCTACAGTTAGGTTTGAAGGACCTCCAGTGACTATCTTAACTCGGATTCCCATTATATCCCTAATTAAAAAGTCACTGAACATACATTTGCCTCTATTTTTTTACTTTTCTGGCCTCCTCCAACCTTCTTACTTGTTAGAAATGTTGGATTATGGACAACGTCTGAAACATAATTACATTTAGTTTTCACTCTGTGTTTAAATCATTCCAAAGCTCTCTTTTACTCACGATTTCTAGTTCCTCTTCATTTTGAATCATCTTTTCTCATGGCTTTGAGGTGTGTGTGTGTTTTTTGTGTGTGTGGGTGTTTTTTTTTTCAGGAAGAGTACACAGAGAGTATATTTTCTGACACCTGGAGTATCTGAACAACTCTGTTAGCTTTATCTACATGCACATATATGTAGCTAGTTGTGGAATTCATACATCCATTGTAACATGTATTTTTTTCTGAAAGTCATGCAAATTTGCCTTATTTTATTCTCACATTTACTGTTCTTTCAAGTGACATACACTTTTTAAACTAAGAACTTTCTTCATTCTGTGTCTGTAAATTCCACAGGAATAAGCTGCTGTCCCTTTCACAGTACATGGCATACTGACACTGAAATAGCTTTGAATTGCTTGCTTCTCTTTCATTCACTGATTCTGGTTTGTCATTTACTGAGAGTCTTCTTTGACTTTCATGCCCTGTCTTTCTCTTGTCCTTATCTTCATTCTTTATCTTTTCACTCTACATTCCAGTAGTCTCTTGGCTTTTCCATATAAACCTTATATGCCAGTGATTATAGTATTTTAGGCATTGTCAGGTCTGTTCTTTGTTGCTAGTAAAGATTTACATCCTACTACTGAGTTTTCAGTTATTTGATTTACTTTCTTTTTCATTCTGGTACCTTTTCATTTTAGATTGTTGTGTTTTTATTTTATCCTGATTCTTTAAAATAATTTTATCTTGTTGAATAGGCTTTTTTTTTTTAAACCAATATATTTTAAGAATCCTAAACAAATATATTCTAAACTATTTTCTGAAATAGGTTATCAAAGGTATTTATTTCCTCCATGATTTCAGGTGAATTCTTTCCTAACTTTCTTTTCCGTTTGTTCATGCCTTAATGAGAATATATATATATACTTTGTATCTTTCCAGTAGATTTAAAATAGAGATTACTAGAGTTTAAAGAAACTCTGGAAGAAAAGGAAAGAATTAACCTCATGACTAAAGTAGAGGTGACTGAAAAGAGCCCGAGAAGCCCATCCTCAAAAACAACACTCCTTTAGGTGCTGGATCCCAGGAACTAAGCAGGGAGCTCAGTGGGATGCATATGTCATCAGTGCTGTCATTGCAGATGATGGGTTAAGTCAGCTCTTCATGTGAATGACTAATCAAGTCACTTCCTTGAACAGACTTGAAGAAGCACAAGGACATCTAGTTCCCAGCAGGAAATGGAGTGTAGAGTCAGCATTGAGATAAGAGGAATAGTATCAAATTGATATTTTGTACACCTTAAACGTATACAGTGTTGTATGTCAATTCGATCTCAGTAAAACTAGGAAAATAATTTAATTTGAATAAAAATAAATGAGTAAAACTTTAAAAGAGAAAAATGGACCTATAAAAAGTGAAGCCTGAGGATAGGAAAGACAAACTTTGCTCACTCACGTGATGGTCCATTGGAGTGTCTCAGCAAAATCAGTCCAGTTCTTTCATAAGTTTAAGAGTAAAGATCCTGCCACTTCTGAGTTCTATTAGCTGTTCCAGATAGAGCTCTGAGGATGGAAGAGCACAATATTTTTTTCCTACATACCTTAAAAATTAAATGGGGCAAAGGGTAAGAAAAAATATACTGGCTGTCCAAATTATTCTTCAATAGATGCCCTAAATTTAACTATTTCAAAATCCTCAAGCTAACATATGACCAAAGCAGATATTTACCAACATAGGAAATTATGGATTAGAGAATAACTATACTGTGATTAATATTTTGCAAGACTTTCTTCTTACATGTTGCATTGGATGCAGGTCTCTATTTCTGTAAATGTCATAAAATTATACTTCATGCTTATGCCTTCTATAAATCTTCCATTTCAGTCATTTTAATTAAATGCTTACCTATGATCAAACAGCTATCTGACACTTTAATATCATTAGCCAAATTTACTTTTAATACTAGTTGGGGAATACATTTATGTGCAGATATATTTCACATGTTTGTGCACCATAACTAGAAATACCAAGTATATTCTTTTGAGAAAAATCTCAATACCGCAAACCTGAGAAACTATCCCAGAAGTCTTTGCTTACTTGTATGATCATTAAACTTACATTGTTAACTTGGGTTTGTCGTCTAGGTTGGGGTGGAAGAGATCATACTTTGTTGTTGAGTGTGAAAAATGTGACAGCAGCCCTTTCTATCTCCTTCTATAGATTCTTTACAGATTAAAGGAAAAGTTTCAGCTTTCTTTGAGACAAGATAAAGAGAAAAATCAGGAGATCCACCTGTCACCCCTCGCTTTACAGCCAGCACAGACTGAGGCAAAGATAGTCAACAGCATGGTCCAGCCTGAGCAGGCGCCGAAGATTCTGAGTGTGGTCGTGGACCCTCAAGGTCGATACGCTCCTGAGATCAAAGCTACCACCTCTGTCTGCCCTTCTCCTTTCAAAATGAAACCCATCGGACTTCAAGAGAGGTAAGACTTTTTTCTGTGTCTCCCATGTGTTGATTTTTTTTTTTTTTTTTGAGTACTCGCCAACAAAAAAGGATAGAACTAGAGATTATTGGCATAGTAAGTACCATCTCTTATATCAAATGGACACCAGGAAGACCAAAGGGTCTTGGCTTTGATTCCGGTGAAGGGCATGTACCTCTGTTACAGGCTCCTCCCCGGTCTGGGGCCTGGTTCGGGGCTTGTGCAGGAGGCAACCAATCCATGTGTTTCTCTCACATCGATATTTCTCTCTGACTTTCCCTCTTCCACTTTCTCTAAAAAAATCAATGGGAAAATATCCTCGAGTGAGGATTAAAAATAAAAAAATTAAAAAATAACAATGAATGAATTGAAAAGAAAAGGATTGGTTACAGTGAGTTCAGAAGTACTTAAAGGGAAAACACTTTGACTTCATAATGGAAGGAAAATGGAGAGCAATCAAGTCATTCTTTCTACCCTGTTTCCCCGAAAATAAGACAGTGTCTTATATTAATTTTTGCTCCCAAAGATGAGCTAGGTCTTATTTTCAGGGGATGTCTTATTTTTCCATGAAGAAGAATACAGTACGCATTTATTGTTAAGTGAAAATAAAGGAAATTTATTACCTGTATACGGTACGGTAGTACGGTAGTTGTCAACACAAACCAGACAAACTGTGAATCCTACAGTATCAAGAATTTACTCATTTATTCAATGACAATCATGTCATCATCTTCTGGAACATCATCATAACAATCCAATTCCTGAATTTCCTGGTGAATTTCTTGTGACTCCATTTCTTTCAGAATCAGTGGACCAAGTCTCTCATGTTTAGCCTAGGGGGGACCTTATTTTTTTTTGGGGGGGATGGGAGGGGGAATGCCTTATATTATACTCAGAAGGAAACCTATAAGTAGGTCTTATTTTCAGAGGATGTCTTATTTTCGGGGAAACACGGTACCTCCTCCCCCCAAATATTTGATGGATTCTTCATGCATCGGGGTATCATTCCCTTGCTTGAATACCACTAAGACAGATAGGATGGAACTTTTTCCTGAAGCTAACCGGAAGTTGGGAGAACTGGAATTGGGACCCAGCTCTGTCATTTCTAGTTTGAGTGGCTTCATGAGCCATTCAATTATCTGGGCCTCATTTTCTTCTGTAACACGATGGGGTTAAACTTGACTGCTTTGGTCCTCACGTTCTTTCACGCTTGTTACCCAAATTAATTTTAAGCATTTATGTGTTGTTGTTTTTTTCAAAAAGAAACCCTGAAGCAGGCATCTGAGCATCAGTGGTGTACCAAGGGCAAGGGGGCGGAAAAGATCTGCTCAGATGCAGGCCATAAGGGGGTCGTTTTCTAGAGATGATTTAAAGATGATTATAAAACTGACTAAAAGTCTGACTAATTTTTATTGTCATCATGTGGCACCAATTCTAAGCAATGTCAGTGATTAAATACTCTAGGGAGTACTTCTTCCTGGCATCCTGCCCTTTGTCAGCCACTGCTGGACATGTTGGGATTCCAAGGAGCATAAGGTTAAATATCTGTTTATTCATTTAAATGAAGTGAATGTTCAATAAAGGAGAGTACCAGCATGGTCTCTTACTCATGTTTGTGGTCTACGGAGGAGACTTAAGCAGAGCAAGTGTGCAATCTATAACTACATGGATTCCCTGCCCCTGGTCTTCACAGTCTCCTGCATCCCCACCTGTGGCCTCCCTCCCCCTTCCCACCTCAAGCAGGAGAGAGCGAGTGATTGTCTACAGAAGCTCCAGATTATTCCCTTCCAATTGTCATAACCAACTCCATCAATTTTCTTCTCCATTATCAATTGTCCCCTAGCTGCTAAAGCTATCCCCCCACATAGAAACAGGTTCTCTTTTGTATCAAAGAAGCTCCCTTAACCCAATGCCTCCTCTGGTTGGTATCTTTCTCCCCTTCTCCAAATGAGTCTTAAATGCGCAGAGTATATTTGTTGCCTCATTGGTCTTCAAACTTCCATCGTCACTATTTCTCTCACATGTTTGCCAAGTTTGCCAACGGACTAATCACAGAGCACATTTCACGTTCACATCTAGTGTTAAACTGTTCTTCCTTTGGCCTCCAAGAGATTATTTTTTGGTACTTGGTTGGCTACCTTTAGGCTCCCATGCAGACTCTTTTCTCTCCGTAACTTCAGAGTTTCATCAAAGAAGTAGATTGAGCTGGAGGGACTTCTTTAGGGAGCATTCAAGTCAAAGGTAGTAAGAGAAGAGGTGGTTGTGGTTGCATTACCTAGGGAGGAGAGAAGAGGTGCGAAGGTGAGACATGGAGTGAGGAATAGAAAAGGAATATGCAGCCGGGACCGGTTTGGCTCAATGGATAGAGCGTCGGCTTGGGGACTGAAGGGACCCAGGTTCCGGTCAGGGGCATGTACCTTGGTTGCGGGCATATTCCCAGTAGGGGGTGTGCAAGAGGCAACTGATCAATGACTCTCTCTCATTGATGTTTCGAACTCTCTATCTCTCTCCCTTCCACTCTGTACAAAAATCAATAAAATATATATATTTAAAAAAAAAAAGAAAAAAAAGAAAAGGAATATGCAGAAGGAAATTTAAGCATCACTTTCTCTTGAAAGCCATTCCAAGCTTCCTCTAGCTTCTTCCCTTCTTTCTCTAGCTCACCTTACTGACACCAATCCAGCTCTCTCCTCTGTTCCCCTCTGCTCTAGTCTTACAACCCTGTGTGCATACAGTGTTTAAACTTCTCGGGTGTAGGTAAAGTTTTCATTTGTAATGCCCTACTCCCTATACTCTTAAGGGTATATACATGATTTAATTGTCTTTTTGTGTCTTACATATATATAGAATATAATTCCTGAAAAGCAGAACTCCTAGAAGTAAATGCTTTAAGGAAGGAATGAATGAATATTATAATGAATAATCCTCAGGTCACCTTTCACTTGTAATAGGGAAACACTTTGCTTATTCCAACATCTCTTCCTCATCTACTCTCACCCTATTTTTCTACCATAATTCTCTGTCAAGATAGTGTAGTAATGAGTTTTAAGAATGATACAATATGAAGAATATACAGTGTTTTATGGAGTCAGAAAACTTTTCTGAGAGTTTAAAGCCGTAAAACTTAATTTATGCTTATGTACCTTTAAAATATCTTTGTGTTCTACAGTCCTCCACCTTCCTATCCTGGAGTAAAATATTAATCCTCTGTTCTGGCTCCATTAAAATCACCATGAGGCCATAAAGTTTACATTATGAGTCATTTGTCTCAAAATCTTTTGGGTCATACCATATAAATCTCTCATCCCTAATTAGAAGAATACATTATTGTAATAAGGCTAAGGGACCATCTGACTGGCTGACTGTAGCTATGACGTGCACTGACCACCCGGGAAGACACTCAATGCAGGAGCTGCCAAGTTGCGGTGACTTGGCAGTGGTGGTTCTCAGGTAATGTACCCCAAAACCAGAGAGGAGGAAGCCAATTCCAGGGTGTATCACCCGAGAACTTCCCTCTTGCAATCCGGGACTCCTCCAGAGAACTGGTTTCGGCCTTATCCCCATAGGCCAGGCCGAGGGACCACACCTGCTAGAGGGACCTCACTCACTCTGCAGACACCCTTCAAGCTGCAGTGCTGCCCCAGGTGCAGCTGGCAGGGGAAGTTGGCTCCAGGGCATTTCCATTCCATCTCGCCCAGTCCCACCTCACTGTCCACCTTCTAATTAATTTATTTTCAACGTGCATGAATCCATGCACCAGGGCACTATTTATTAATAATAAAATATGATTTTAAATTAAAAATAAAATTTAAAATATATAAAGCCAAATGCCTATGCTTAACTAGTACGAAGTATATAACCTGGAAATTATGAAGATTAAAGGAGCATAAGATGAGAGACATAGTAGTTTCCTTTTTTTTTCTCCCTACTTCCAACTAGTCACTAAATCACATTGATCCTTGCTCCTCAGATGTTCTCATTAATATCTCTTTTTGTAACCATTACCCTGGACTAAGATCCCACTATTTCATATTTGAATCATTTTGCCTTAAGATTTAAAAATGATATCAGGATGAATATGTGTTTAATATTTCACATATATTATTTTCTTTTATCTTATCTGCCTGATCTAATTCTCTTGTCTCCCTGAGTTATCTTGCTGTGACAATACTTGCATTGTTACGTTGCTTTACAAAAAATCTCATAGCTCCCCTTTGCCTGCAGAATAAGACACAAACTCTCTTGTTGGGCCTGATCATTCTCTCCAAACATTCTAGCCACTATCCCATCAAAACAAACCTTCCCTTCCGTCTGCTCTCTTCCCAGCAGTGTGCCCACATTTGCATCTTTGTTCACCTGGTCCCTCTTCCTCCTCCTCCTATCTCTAGCCTCCAGATCCCAACATGAAACTATCTTCAGCCACCACCATGACACCTACTGTGCCCACAGCAATTTTAACACATCTGCATCCTCATATATGCCATTCCTGCAGCAGTGGTTTTAGTTAAAGAATAATTCACAAAGAATTGAAACTGGCTTTTGAATGGTGTAACTGTCCCTTCACCAGCTTGTGAGAATCTCAAGATACTCAGGTGCCTCCCATGATTCCTGTAATTGCGGTACATAGTTCCTCGGGGTGCATCACCTGAGAACTGCCCTCTTACAACCCGGGACCCCTTGGGAGAGTTGGTTTCGGCCTTTTCAATCCTCACTTGAAAAATATTACAGAGTGGATTACTTAATTAATTAATGTTCCTTTACATCTTGGGATCTCATATGTTTCTAATGAAACTTCCACAATCCAAGCCAGCGTGGGTCAATGGTTGAGTGTCCACCTATGAGGCAGGAGGTCACGGATTGATTCCCAGTAATGGCACATGCTACATCCCCAGTAGAGGGTGCAAGAGGCAGCCAATCAATGACTCATCACTGATGTTTCTATCTCTTTCTCCCTTTTCCTTCCTATCTGAAATCAGTAAAAATTATATTTGAAGAAACTT